TCAAACGAACTCCTCAAACTATTAACAAACCTCATGAACTATAATACTCTTCAGACAGAAATCATCATCAGGCCAATCAATGAACCAGTAAAATCAGCTAAACTGGCCTCAAGCACCTGTAAAACCAATTCTTCTGGCTAAAAACCACCCTCAAGCCAACTACCCTGCACATAAACTTGCTCAAGCACCTGTAATATCCATTCTTCGATGAACATAAACATAAAGATGCTAAAACCCATAATAAGCACACACAAAAATCAGCTTTGAATACAATGCAAAAAAACTTGAAAAATTACAGACCTCTTCAAATAAGTAAAATCAACTCCTTAGCCTAAAAACCAGCATCAAGCACCAATTACACCAACTAATTCCTCAAACTATATAAACTGAATATTCAGGCCCAGAAAACCTTTGATAATTATATCAAACACCAGTAAAAGCTCTCAGATTTTAACTCGATCCTTTCAACTAGAGAAGAAATCGCCACAGATCTGAATAACTTCTCAGACTAGAATCCAGTCTGTAGTAACTGTCGTGTACCCTTAAACAAATCAACTCCAAACAGCTTCAAACGCCAGTCAAATCAACTCTTCGCACAAGAAACCATGTTCAAGCTTATGTAAAATCTACTTAGCATACTAGAAGCCAGCCTCACTGATATATCGGATTAGAAATTCGTATACTTGGATGGCCGCAAACAAGGAATTATTAACGATAATCATAAATAAAACCATAAATACTTATTTTCCAAAGATATAATGTGAAAACCTCTCAAAAGTCTCAACATCCAGTTACTGTCAATAAGAGCATTTACAAGAATAATTAATATAGAACTTAACTGCACTTCAAAAATCTTACATAAGAATAAAACCATAAGAATTAAAAAGAAGTTAAAATATGAAGGAAAAACACTTATCTTGTGGTTGGTTTCTTCCGCAGATTTGTGTTTAAGGTCCACCCTTTAAAACACTTTATTTTTATAGTTTCTTAAGTTTAATTAACTATGTACTCTTATTTACGAAACAAGAAGGATTTTCTGAATTATCCATGGCAAGCACGTTTTCCCAAAATGGTGAGCGTCACCGCGCTTTGTTCATCATTTAAATACGCGTGGCGACGGGGGGGATGAAGAATTGAGTCATTTGCATTTAAGAAAATATGAGAGTGGAAAACAAGCGGAGAAAAGGCTAATTGCCGTATACAGAGATGGGGTCGCTTTTGTTCCGAAATTTCTCCACACGGGAGTTGTAAAGAAGCTTTTCTCGTGACGATCTGTTTTACAAGCTTAACTAGCACTCTTGTAACGAATGCCACTTGTTACCTGGTGATTTTTCATTAAAATGAACCCACAATAATTTGGTTCAGTGCATTGTAAGTCTTTGGGGGCTAAACAACAACGATCTACTTCATTTATCCACTTCTAATATTAATGTAGGCAATGGTATACATTTATAATGATAATTTCGACAGAGAAAATAATTTTCATGATGTTCTATGCTTGTAGTTGCAAGGCGACTTTTTACCTCTTTGTCAACTCATTCCAAAGGTGTTCGATAGGGTTTAAGTCCGGATTACATACTGGCCACTCAAAACATTGAATTGAAACACGTTCCAAGTTGTCACCAACGATCCTAGCTGTGTGTTGCCTTGCACTGTCATGCATAAGAATAAAACCGTCATCAATTAGTAGCATATAAGGACCAATTTCTTCTGATAACACATCTTCAATGTATCACATAGCTGTTAGGGAAGGGGAGATGAAGATCAAGTTATTGCGACCTTCCATAGAAATGTCTGCTCAAACCATAACATTACCACATCGATACCTTCTCCGGAGTGAAAATGTTACGCAGATATATCGCTCTCCTGTTCCTCTCCAAACCCTCTATCGGCCGTCAAATACCTCAGACAAAACCTTGACACGTCCGAAGACAAGATTTTAATCCAATCTTCCTCAGAACAGCGTTAGGATTTCTTGCGAAACTTAACCGAGCTGCTTTATGCCTTGTCAGAAGTTCTGCGCCAGTGGCATGCCTTCTCGCACGTTACATTAACATTTCTAACATGTTGAAGTCCTTGGTTGATCTCACCAGCGGTAGAACGTCGATTACGGAGTACATTCGAAACAATAAAACGACATCTCTCTGAGATTTGACACGATGGCGATCTGATCCATCTGAGTTGTTCTGGGAATGTTAAACACCTTGGCCACATACGCTTGACTCGATCTAACAATGCTATGAACTTAGCCGAATCTGTATTAGTTAAAAAGCCATTACTCAAACAAATTTGAAACTTCAAAATGGTATAACTTAAAACAGTCAAACGTTAGAAAGAAGCTTTACAGAAAAGCCAACAAAGAAGAGATGACTATTCAAAGATTTATCTACAAAACCCGGTTGTACACACAAATGGAAGATTTTATCTATGTTTTATTTAACTCTAATCATTTAAAACGGACGGAATACTGTTGTACGATAATCAGCGGAGTATTGTCGAAGAGATGATTAAAAATACTAAAGATGGCTTTTTTGCCTCTCCCTAATTTTGTTAACGTCTAAGTAATTTGTTATAAGGGTTGCTATTTTTTTCTTAGTCGTCTTAAGAAAGTAATTTTATCCTTACATAGTTTCTTTCTTGTCGGAATAGAATTATTTTTGTTTATACCAACAAATCAAATTAAACCTCCCCCTATTATCGAAATCGAATATAATAAAACGATTCGTATCGATACCCTTCACTGTTCTCTGTGTTCCGTTGAAATTTGCAAATACTACTACTCTTTATTTCTCCCCCTTGAATACATAAAACTCCACTGACAGACTACTTAAACTACCCCAACAATTCCAAAGGGAGAGTGGTTAGCACGTCAGACTCTCGTCTAGATGGCCCCGAGGTCGAGGGTTCGATTCCCACCTTCGCCCCTGAAATTTCTGACTTCCCAAAAATTAAAAAACGTAAACACTACCACGACTATACTTAACCACTTTCACGTGACAAGAAACCATCATTAAACAGATAGCGATGAATCCTCTGAATAAAAACTACAATTGCCCCTCACAACGTTACCGTAGACACAATACCAAAAAACTGGATTAAAAAAAGTCAAATCAGTACAACTCTTCAGACAAGAACTCCTGTAGTCACCACTATATACTAATAACTAAATAATTGATAACTAAAACAATATAACTATCGAAACAACGTTCTCTCTAGTTGACATAACAGTAAATACATGATAACAACCACAAGGATTGAAGAGGCGTCGGTCCGAGGTCCACAACCCCAGAGGTTGATATGTCCTCTGCTGCTGCCAACCCCATACACAATAAAAAAAACTTCTGAGTAGAGAGTACACCCTTTAAAAAACGATACCATCTTTCGCATAACTACTAAAACTGCCCCTAACAGTTCCTAAAACAACAGATTCAGGTGACTACCAGACTATTGGCCTGGCGAATTATTTATTTGCGTGAATGTTTAAGTGTGTATGGACGCGGTCTGTATCGAATATCGAGTTCCCACAGACCTTCGAACAATTAGATTAGTGAATGAGTGATTTTTGTTCTGTATGAATGTATTTATAGGCGTGACTGAATTTTAGGGTAGTTGCAGGGGTGGGATGCAGCATCACATCGAGAACTCTTAAGTCCGGCCAAACTTAGATTAGTTAATCGTTTTGATTGACTTAGGACTGATTAATCGATGGAGAGAATTTAAAAAAATACGAGATAGACAAAACTTGAGAAGATGCAATGGCTCTGGCAGGTTGCTGACCCAAATTAAAAATAATAATAATAATAAAAAGTAAAGTAAAATCCGCTAACGTAAGAACTACTAACAACCCCCGAAAGAATGGATAACAAATACCGAGGTCATTATAACAACCACAATGACCTCTAATCTGTCTTTTTTTATATACAAAACGCTTGACATTTAAATAATTCCTTTGAAGCGTAATTGTAATATGATGAAAATGGTAAAAGTCGAAAGAAAACCTTTCCTGTTAAATAGATACTTGGTAAATGTGGTCCGACTGTCGTATTTCTAGGAGATTTTTCATCAGCCTCTTCATCTGAGACTTTTACATGGGAAATTCAACGGGGAAACCGAACCCCTTCTATTATCCCCGTTTTCCCGTTGTCGAGGAGGAAAAAGTGGCTCAATTTCAAAGGAAATTCCGAGATAGGGGAGAAATTCATTTGCGAAGGGCCGACGAAATTCACCCGACGTTTTCCCTAATAAATGAAAACCCGGTGAATTTTTCGATATGATTTCCACCCACGCAGGAAAAATCGAATTCATCCCCACCACTTATGGAAAGGGAGTTACAAATCAATTCTTGTCATCCGGGCTTAATGAACTTTTCTGGAGGTGTTAGTTCGTGGCTGAAGCAATTAAAAGACCCTCGAGCTTGAGACAAATGTTGGGCTTTTGATTAATGATCCATGATCGGACACGCTCTTGCCCCCTTCCCATATACACTGGTTCCGAATCGCCATTGTGTTTCCTTCTTTTATTCTTTCATGTTCCCACAGATGAATTGTTGTCCAAATGAAGCACGACCTGAATTCAACATTACACCTTAAATCAGAATTTCATTCATATTATTTTCCTTCTAACCGCCGTCAAAACACTTATATTTTCGGGTTAATATTTGCCTTTTACCCAAGCAAGACCGATGGAATTGACATGGTCGGCAGTCTCATCACGCTCGTTTCCCTCCAAGGTAAAAATAATAAAACATATATGTACTATGATAAAATACGTTTTTTATAGAACAAACAAAAGCAATGAGAGAAGACATTTTTATATAACAACTTTGTATTAAACAAGTCCAATTTTTAAATAAAATCATTGCAATTGTATCAACAGTTTCACGTATTTATTTAGATATCGTGAGATGCGGTCGGGTTATAGTCTCACGATATATGAATAACTATCGATTAACGGTCACTAATCTCTACAAAAAAGTTTCACGTATTTTCTTTCTGTTTCAGGGCTGAAGTACCTGCACTCGGCAAGGATTCTCCATCGGGATATAAAGCCGGGCAACCTACTCGTTAACAGCAACTGTGTCCTTAAGGTAATTTTCCAGCAATAATCGATTTTATTTACGCCCGGCGATAAAAAAAATCCGAAACAAAATACGTTCATGAATTATTAAAAAGGGTATATAATGAAATAAATTATTTACAATAATAACAATTACAGTGATAAATTTATTTGCTCTTTCCCTGTGTGGATTTTGTTCTCACTGTTTGTGTTTCATAGAATTCCGTGGCGTTATAAACTTCCTCAAACATTTTATATTGTATTTTTTTGTCGGAGATGGCACAAAGAGATTATTAACCCTTTAATCGGTCAATGGCTTCGTCACGTGGAAATTGTTCCCTCCCACAAAAATTATATTCAGTCTTAATCACAAGTTACGTTTTATTATTTTGTTTTAGAATTATTATTTATATTGATTTGTCTGAACTCTGGTTTTGTTACAAAAATCATTTCTGCATTGCTGATATTTATTGGGAAGATTTATTTAGAAGAATCAAATAAAAATCAGCTTCAGAAAGCTTCTATAAATACGCTAAAAGCCTTGGTGCAAGAAAGTAGCAATAGATACAACGACAAGAAAAGAGAAGATATCTAGGTGGATAGACAGGTAGATAGAGATCGATACATAGATAGATAGATAGATAGAGAGAGAGAGAGAGAGAGAGAGGGAGAGGGAGGGAGGGAGAGAGAGAGAGACCGACAGACAAGAAAACATAAACAAACACAAAGAGAGAGAGAGAGAGAGCGAGAGAGTGAGAGAGAGAGAGAGAGAGAGAGAGAGAGAGAGAGAGAGAGATTAGACAAGAGGGGGAGTGACTTCTTCGTGTTTGCTGACTCGTTTGATTACAATTGTTGTCATGAAAACAACACAGACCCACACTCCCCGAATATATTAAAATAACGTCATTATGTGAGATGTTAGAACAAAAGATAAACAAGGTATTAGAGATGTAAGAGTCAGAGAGAAAAAAATTATAAGAATGAGGTGGGAAAGTAATTAGTACAAGACATGTGGCAAGGTAAAAATGCATAAAACATAAAGAAAGACGAAAATTCAGTATAAACAACTAGATCCAAAAGGATTGAAAGGACACGACTAAGAAGAAAGTGTGTAAAATAAGATTTAAAGAAAGCTAGCGAGAGGAACAGGAAGAAACTGATAATGATTAGATGGGCATGAGGTAGGGACTAAAAGAAGCAATAATATATTTTTAACAAATGTTAATAAACCGGAAAGAAACGAAAACAAAAAGGTGCCTGTTTTCCTTACTTAATGAACAAAACATTTGAGAGGGAAAATGTGTCAATTTTGCATTCAGATTAAAGCATGGGTTTAGGGAAATTGAAACAAAAACCTTGTCCCGATTGTCCTTTTGACTCTTTGTTTTAACAGGTCCGTGTTGGACGACATAGGCGAACTGGAACTAATTGGAAAGACTGTCCATCTAATTCATCAATTTGCAGAAAGCTTTCGGTCGAGAAAGGGTTGAGATCAGCCCTCATCCAATGGGAATTCAGATTAAAGCATGACTTTTTTATTCGATTGGGACCCTGGCGAAAAAGGGAAGCTTTTAATTCCACCCTTGTTATTTTCTTTCGCGCTCTATGAAAGCGTGGAAGAAAAGAAACTGCGGGGAATAATTTGTACAGGAGCCTGGGCCAAATCTGAGAAGGGGCCGGCGAGACGTACATTTTGAGAGTTTATGCCCCAGTTTATCTTCGCTCGGCCCGGGAACTGGGGGGGGGGGGACCTAATGAGGACTTGAACGGAACTGCACGCTTTTGAAAAGCTGGAGATTTACGATCTTCCCTCTTTTCCCTTCTAATAAAGAAATATTCTTTTATAAATGGAAGAGAAATCGTCAACAAACTCTCCTTCTGACAAACAGGCAATAAAGAGATAATGCGGACGAAATGCACAATCGGAGTGAAGTGGGTTTTTTAGAGCTTTTTAAAGATAAACGGATAAAAGCTTTTTAACATAATTACTGTGATAAATTTCTCGTCAGACTCCATTGTTAAAAAATGGCATCATTCTCTAACAAAAGTGATGACTATCATACCTAGGTATATACTACAAACCAAGATAAATTTTTCACAATAGCGATCGTTTGCGTGTCAGGGCACGCAGAAAAACTCCAGGGGTGGGGCCTGGTAGAATGCATAATGAGCCATGTTTAGTCGACAGTTTTTGTCATGCGGGACCAGAGACAAGGCAGGGTCTGTACTTAAATTTATTATTGTCCCCATGTTAAATGCTTCTATGTAAGAAAAACATGAATTTTGTTTAAAATTGACGAGAAGAGTAGATAAACAACGCAGTTGAGTAGTTAGGATAAAATCTAAGCCGGTGAAATTGAGAATTAAATTTCATTAGTATAGAAGCTTTGCAGTTTCATTAGTTTATATATTTTCGAGCTTTTAAAAAGATAAAAGGCTGTCTTAATAATTACTACGATAAATTTATTGTTGTACTACATTGTCACAAAAAAAATGTCATCACTGTGCATAGACTCGAAAGCTAAGTATATTTTCTACAAAAGGAGACTGCGTGTCAGGACATGCAGAAATAATGACCCTTGATTATTTTTTTCGTGGGTATTTCAACTACGAGTTCAAATCAACCCTTTGAGTTCCCGTGTTTTAAATCAAAAGATTAAATTATTTGTTGTTGGCACCTGGGACTAGTATATACGCGAAAGCCAAGTGTATGTTCTAACTAAGACGACAGTTTCTTAGTCAGGGCACGCAGAAAAAACCCCATCGTTGGTGCGTGGGAGGATGTTTAGCGACATAATGTGCCATATTTCTTTTCTGCTTTCATTTCTTGCACTTGTACCATGACTTGTCTTACACGAACGCTTATTCATCCAGTACTGTTCCTTTCCAAATATAATTAATCCTATTCCTAACAATTAATTAATAACATAAATGCATATCATAACTTGTCCTAGAATATCTAGGTTTCTTTTCGCTTGCAAATGGACTTTTGAACATTACTTAGTTACATTTTACATATAGGCTATTGAAACAATAGATCGAAAGCACGTACAAATCAGGATGAGAGGTTCTTATTTGGCATGTCACAAGTAAACTAGGGCATCTAGTTTTCTTTCAGGTGGTAATTACATCCGTTGAATATTTTCCAAATTTTATTATTGAAAATATTCTGATTTAGTATTTTAGCGTTTGGCGATCTTCAGTAGTTCTAAGCTAGGGGGGCCGCGATGGGAGTGGATAAGACATCTGAATTTGCGACGATACCGGACCTGGGTTCGAATCCCGACACAGCCCATGGCGTTTTAGTTGCAAATAGTTTGAAAGAAGTATTGTTAATTTGTCACGACACCCAATGGGCAGTTGGACTTTAAGTCATCCTCTACAAAAGATAACAGGAATTATTTTACTTTTCAGACTGATAAAACATTCTCCTTTCTTAAAACACAACATTAAAAATACGTAGTTTTCTTAGCTTATAATTGGCATTTTTTCCACATTTTTGTTTACATTGTGTAGCATTCTTTGAGTGTTAATGCATTTTTTTACTACTTCCCATTCAAATAGACACAGTATTGTTTCAACTACTTTAAAAGATAGTTCTTATTCACAATTTGTTGTTTTCAACAAGCCTTAAACGCTCATCATCATCAGGTTGAAGGAGTTAAATGGAGTTAAGTCTCTCGACATGAATTGTAAGAGTGAACCCGCCGATCCACCGCCAACGCGACGTTCCAACGAGAAGTTGGTTTTTAATGGCTTACGCCTCTATTCAGCGGGTTCATGTCAATTCATGTCGAGACGTGTTTCTAACTCCCTCCTACCTGATGATGAGCGTTTAATGCTCGAAATCCGGATTGTTGTGACTACCTTTTTATAATAGTTACACAGCATACTTATTCCACCTTTATCTTTTTTATTTACCGTATTGTTTGTTTTCTGACTCTCAAAATTCCATAACATTCATCTACTATTGTTTGTTTTCTAATTCCATCAGTAAAACTTGAATTTTAGTTTCACAGACTGTTTTTGTCATGCGGGACTAGAGACAAGGCTGTGTTTATATTTAAATTTATTATTATTTGCCACTGTCTCGTGCCTAGGTTTCGAAACCAATATTGTTTAAAAAGGGGATTTTGCGACAAGAAAAACTTCGTAAGCGGTGCTTGGGAGAAACATTATCCTTACATTTTTGAGTGGTCAATTTTGATATACACATATGTGAGCTTTCATTTATAAATCTATTGGTAAAAAATGTTTGTTACGCTCGCTTTGTGTTTTTGTGTGTGGTTGTGTTTTCGAGGTAGATAAGGCAAAGAGGGTAATAAAAACTGCTGTCCTGACTGTAAACCGGGGATCACGTGTCGTCCCAGAATTATAGGAAATTAGTTTCACCCTCTTTCCACGTGGGCCAAATGGATTGGCTCGGCCGAGAAGAAAAAGGCCCAAGGGTGAAGGGGTAATTTGGCTAATGGGCAAATTTATTCGTCCCCGCGAGAATTTCACAGCCCCAACCTAAAGTAGTGTAGGATAGCGGTTCGGGAAAAAAAGTATGTGTATCACATCCGACGCCGTACAATTAATAAACAAAGGGCGTTAGGATCCGGCTCTTCCCCCGGATCGATAAACGGAGTCTGCAGCTGCTACGGTACGGCTCTGCAGGACCCCTCCGAATAACGACAAAACCTCATTGATTTTTAACTGTGCAGATTTGTGATTTCGGCCTAGCCAGGGTCGAAGAGCCGGACACGAGCAAGTACATGACACAGGAAGTAGTGACCCAGTACTACAGAGCTCCGGAGATCCTGATGGGTGCCAAACACTATACGGCCGCCGTCGACATCTGGTCAGTCGGCTGCATTTTCGGCGAGCTCCTCGGAAGGCGGATACTCTTCCAAGCACAGAGTCCTGTTCAGCAGGTGAGCCTTTTCATATTAAATACAAATTCATTTTTAGATGATTAGACAGGAAGATAAGGACATGAAAGAAATAGGAGAGCAACGGAAGAAGCAAACACGCACTTACCAATAATGTGACCACAGAAATTCATTCACCTACTAACAGCAAGCAGATGTAAAACACACACACCTACACACCATATACAGTCGAACAGAATATAACCCGCCCTCACAAATCAAAAAATAACTGAACATCTAAACAAACAAATCCACAGTTAAATAAATAATAAAAAATATAAAATTCTTGGATTTGCCACTTATTAGATAATAACATAAAGGATTTTAGTAATTTCTTACGATTTATTAACATGGAATATGTTTTCATCGTCATTCTAGGTCTCATACTCTAGTTCGCAGGACCATTTGGTAGAAATTATCGCAGTTTATTATCAATTCTCGGTTGTAATTGTTATTGCTGGGTTCATATTGATAGTTGTGCTGTCCGTTTATTTTCTTATAGTGCGTTAATAAAAGTGCATATACAGGGTGTCCCGTGAACAGACAAAGTCTGCGGTTGTATTTGAGATATTTTAGATTCATGTTCCTTCAACCTTTCGCAACTTTATTCCATAAAGTCTCTCGTGTAATAAATTTAATTACTACTAATTATTATTTGAAAAGAGCATTGAAACCCCTATGAGAATTATTTTATTTTGTGTTGTATCGCAAATCAAACAAAATATAAATCTTCTCTCTATCAAAATATAAATCTTATTTCTTTTTAATATAGACAGTTCTGTCTTTGTTTTCAGGTCTAGTAAACAACAATTTTATTTGTAGTATAATAAATAAATACCGTTGTAAAAGGACAAAAAATATCCAATAGATATTCACTTGAAAGGAAATAGAACAGAAAAATTTCAGTCACACAAAACATCATATAATTGGAAATAGGACTGACACTGACATTCTGTTTCAAATAAGGCCCCTATTTCATTACAAAACACGACTTATTCAAGAAAATTAATTTTTAAGAAAGGCAAAAAAACTGCACCAAAAGTTTTGAAAATTAAGGGCCTTGAATAAGAGGCCGATTATTTCAAGAGGATTCTAATGTATCGATTTGATTAGGTTTTTGTACCTGGAAAGTTAACAAAATCGAATCAAATTTTAGGTTCTTGTCTTTTTCCGCTCATATTCTCAGTTATTTACTTTATTTCTATTTGTGTAAGCAATAAAAAAAATTCAAATTTGCAATATTCTTCAAATATGTAAACATATGCACAATGAAATTTGAACCATTGTACCTCGGAAGTATGAGACCATGGACGTAAGTGTTGGCAAAAAAATTTACAATTGCAACTATAACATAAAGGATTAGAGATAAGATGAATTTGAAAGAAAGAAAACCACTCAGTTCCTTCGTCAAAATTTCCAGCAATACATCCCCTTCATCAGGACTCTTAAGGATCTATATACAATATTTAATGTATGGCTTCGACCATACTAAATTTATGATTTTTAGTAGAGGGAAAAAGATTTATTACCCGTCCATTCTACATTTATTCTTTCAAATTCGCCTTGTTCCTGATCTTTATAAATATCAGAGGAAACATATGTAAAATGAGATTTTGTTTATTAATCAACAGTGGAATAAACCTGTTGAGAGGATTCAAGAAAACAACCACCCTCAGCTTTTCTCAAATTGTTGATGATATGCTTATGCCAATTACGATAGATTTTAATGATTATCTGGTCCGTTTGATTTTTTTTTTGTGTAAGAATATAATTTTGAAAAGAATTTGCCATTAAATCGTTATGTTACATGCAGATTTTCATGGATTATTCATTGTAAATGTTTGTTTCCTGCTTGTTACTTCCTGGCCTTCATTTTAGAATCTTATTTAATTTCAAACCTCTGATATTTTTTGGATTTGGTGCATTCAACTCTTGTTAAAATGGATGAACATTAGTTGAAAACATTTCTACTCGGGTTCTCACTGAAAGCCCTGCTATTTAGAGGGTAGATTTAATTTTCAGCGTATTTCATTCATGGAATGCCAGGGGAACGGAGGAAGCGACTGTCACTAGTAAGATAAGCGAGATTTTCCATTATTCCCTTCTCCCTTCAACGATTCAGTTTGGCATCTCAGCGACAGAGGATTTTTAACAAAATTAATTCATAGGGAGCAGAAAGATAAAAGTGAAACAAAAGCCTTAATCCCATCCGAAAAGGTTCATCGCCCTGTGAATATTTTGTCTTAATGAATGCACTACCAAACCAAGGTTCACATCCTGAAAACCCTCGTGTTTATCATCTAATCATGTTTTTTTCAGCTCGAACTGATTACGGATCTTCTCGGGACACCGACGTTAGAGGATATGCGGCATGCTTGCGAAGGAGCGAAAAACCATATGCTGAGATACAGGACAAAACCACAGGCGTTGAGTGCCCTTTACACCCTCTCCCCGCTGGCGACCCACGAAGCAGTACACCTCTTATGCCAGATGCTCGTCTTCGACCCGGTAAGGAGTCGCATAACAATCTTATAGGTCTTTACTCTAAAGGGCCGTTTTGTTCCAGGATAAGAGGATATCTGTCCTCAACGCCCTGGCCCACCCGTACCTCGATGAAGGACGCCTGAGGTACCATTCCTGCATGTGCAAGTGCTGCTACACGACGAGCAACGCGATGAGGCAGTACACGGTCGATTTCGAGCCCTTTTCGCAACAGACATTTGACGACCTCTGGGAGAAAAAGCTCACTACTGTACGGCAAGTTAAAGGTGGGTTTGATTGACGTCTTCAAACTTTCTTGAAACAATAATAAAAAATCTGCGCACGTTCATGCACGATACCAATACTTTTCTCAGACACTTATTATTCACACTTTCTTGAAGCTATTTTATACTTCCGAATCACGTTCAAAAACTTGCTTCAAAACAATAAAAAATTTATTAGTTTTCATCCCGTTTATAGTCAAAAGGATTCAACACTTCTTGTTCAAGTTTGCACAAAATATATACAAACATCTTTGATGCATTTCACATATAGCTTTTTCCGATCAAATTAACGCTTTTTCTACGTAATTATTCCTTTTTAATTTCAAATTAACCTTTTTTCACACCGAATTAACCATTTTTCATTGCAAATTAGCTTTTTTAAATTTCAAATTAACTGATTTTATCTTCAAACTGATCCCTGTTAATTTCAAATTAAATTTAAATTCCTTCCATTAAAGCATTAAAAAACTTAGTGGGTGGTATAAAATGTAAGTATGTTAAGTAAAATTCCTGAATATTGGATACCTTTTTTCTAAAATAGAAAGTAATTGAGCTCTTAGAAGACAATATGAAAAGTAATAATAATAAATTCTTCTTCTTTTAATTTGAAATTTAAAATATAAAATACTTCGGCTCTTAAAAATCACAATTGCTCAAAGAAGACTCCTTTATATGTATATTTTATTTTGTATACACCACAATCATTTTCAATTCCATACGAGGAAGATACCGCAATCCTTTCAGATTCCTCCTGACCCAAATCCTTGCAGGAAAAGCAACCCAATACCACCGAGAACTTATCATCGACTGGAGCACTTGAGGCGCATAAAGCTAAATGAACAGAAAAGCCAGCACGTCATATCATACTTAAAACTATCTGCCCACCAGCGCATACACAGAAAGCTAATCCTCCCAACCAACCAAATCTGCTACCTTGAGTTCTACTTGCATACAATTAAACAAGAACTGAACCGAAGGTACGGACAACTCAGACGTCTGATTGAACTCAATACACAATGAGTAGGCCTTAAAGAGTCGAGCGGTGGGGTTCAGCCAAGCCATCCGAAGAATCCAATTCTTTCAATCCAAAATCCTCAGTCACATCGCCAACACTCCTTCTATGTCACTAACCAAACCATCCACAAAGACATAGACATCCCATTCGTGACGGACATGAACCAAACACGATTCCACAAATTCCACTCTACAGTCTTCTCCCACACCAAACCACGCGCTCAAGCCACACCAAACCTCTCTTCAACGACCATGGCCGGCTCCTTCCCTGATGCCCTTGGTCTGACAGGTTCCTGCCAGATCTTTTATTGACAACAAGTTGTTAATGTGTAAATCTTTTGAATATAAAACAATAAAATAAAACATTAAAAAAATTTATACCAATCATAATTTTTTAATGCTTTCCAGTTTAAAAGGAAATTTGAAATTAAAAATTAACCCTTTTCCCGTCAAAATATCTATGTTTAACTTCAGAATAACTTTTTTAATTTCAAATTAACCATTTCTAACTTCAAATTAATCTTTTTTAATTTCACATTAACCATTTTAATTTCAAATTATCCCTTCCTTTAAAACATTACAAAGTTAAATTCACTAATTTCGTGGTCCGCTTGAAACCTTAATTAATTGTAAAACATTACAAAGTGTTGAGGTGGTATAAAATATAAGAATGTTAAGTAAAATTCCTATTTATTTGAGTTTTTTTTAATACAAAATAATTGGGTTCTTAGAAGACGACTATATGAAAATTAATTACATTTAAAATTTAAAATGACAAAAATAAAATAATAATGAATTCTTTTAATTTGAGAATTGTAAGAAATCGTGGTTTTTTTAAGGCCTAATTATTTTATATTTTTAAAAAAGTATCAAATATAAAGGAATTTTACTTAACATACTTACATTTTACACTATACCAAATTTTTTTTAATGCTTTAAGGTTTAAGAGAAGAGTTAATTAATTATAAATTAGCTCTTTTCCCGTAAAAATAACCCTTTTTAATTTGAAATTAACCCCTTTTAACTTCAAATTAACTATTTTTAACTTCAAATAACTTTTTTAACTGCGTATTAACAATTTTTAATTTCCGATTAACCGAATTAACCCTCCCTTTAAACTATTACAAAACATGATGAATGGTATAAAACATAAACGTGTCACGTAAATTCCTATATGTATACCATTTCTAGGTTGTTTGATGTTTTAAATAAAGGGTTAATTTGGTATTAAAAAAGGCTAATTTTAAATTAATTATGGATAAATTGAAGGTAAAAACTGTTAATTATTAAATTAAAACGTGTTAATTTGATGCGACAATGGGTTTCGCATTAAAAAAAGTTAATTTGACGGAAAAAGTTAAAAGATTGTTGTTATCAAAGTATTCTAGACACATTTGTTTACAAGTGCTTGAAAAATCATGCTCAAATATGTTTAAAATGAGAAATCATTTTGGCCGGCCTTTCTATCCTCCCTTTTGTGACCTGTCAGGTGCGTTTCGCGTTGTTATTGTACTTTGTAGGTGTAGGACACATACATATAATCATAAAGTTATACGTGTCTATTTTATACAAGGCGAGTAATTTTTCGACGCCCCATAGGAAAAAACATTAGTTCCTTGATTTTTTTTCTTTTAATGACCCGGTTCTATTTTAAACAGCGTTTGCTGGTATTATAGCTTAAAAGGGTTTCAGTTCTAACTGGAAACTGTGTTTTACTCTTTTAACATTTATATTAATGAGTTTAAAAGCTTAAGATTGGATTCACCTCGTCCCTTTGTTATTTTGTAGTCTGTCGCACACAACCATCGTGGTGTGTGATTCATAACATCCGGTTCATTCTTTCACAACTATGATTTTTTGTTGCGTTTGACTCGGTGAACAGGGCTTGCTGAGATTTATTTTTAAGTCCCGATTTGTTATTAGTTCGCGAATTTAATTTTTCATACCCGAAATAATATTTATATAATAGGAAGAATTCGATATGGTTTTCTTTTTTCTGCTTTCGGCAAGCTAACATAATATACGGTGTCTTTCTTCTGTCTTTCAAATCAGTTTATTTTTAAATTCCTTTCTAGTTTTGAGTTTGCCCTCTTCTTATTTTCAAACTCGGTGTATCGGCGAAATGAAATTCCCTTTGGTCCGTTTAAATTCATATCCTTGATAATCTCATATTTCGGGGTGCAATCAAGAATTCCTTTCCTGTTCCTACCCCTATACGTAGGCCGTTTACATCGGCCCCTTCATATTCGGGCATTAATACTATATTCGGTTCAGGAAACTCAGCCGGATATTTGTTCAAGGGAATAACGGAAGGGAACTTTTTTTCAAAAAGCCACCCTATTTAGGAGAATAAAATTTTCCTGTGCAATCGACCCGGATAGAGAATAACAACCAAATTTGGTTGCTTTTCTATTGGGTTGTCCGGAAAATAATGCAGGATTTTGGTATTAAACAAAAAAAAAGAAACTAGTTACTTTAAAGCAATGTTCTTTAATCAAAATAATTCCCAACGTGTTGGTAACTTATTAATTCCGTCTGAGTAGAATTCAGAATTTTTAGAATTGATAAAGTCAATAAATGCATTTTCCAGTTCCGTTTGATTTTTGAATATTATGTGTTGTAAGTAGTGGTCCAGGTGTCTAAAAAAATGGTAGTCAGTAGGCGAGAGGTCCGGAGAGTAGGGTGGGTGAGGCAAAGTTTCATAGCCAAGCTCCAATAATTTTTGTGACGTTACACGTGACACATGTGGTCGAGCGTTGTCATGCAACAAAATGGGCCCTTTCCGATTGACCAAAGAGGGCTTCATTACTGCCAATTTCTGATGCATGGTATTAATTTGGTTACAGTATGATTCAGCATTGATGGTTTCGCCAGGATTTAAGAAGCTGTAGTGTATTAAACCAAATGAAGCCCACCATACCGTAACCATTACCTTTTTTTGATGAGTTGGGGGCTTTGGAGCTTCTCCTTTGTCGAGCCACTGTCCAGAACGTCTAGTGTTATCGTAGAGAATCCACTTTTCGTCACATGTAACAATTCTGGCCAGAAATGGGTCATTTTTGTTTCGACAAAGAAGTGATGCACAAACATCAAAGCGCTGATTTTTTGGCGATCGTTTAATGAGTGTGGAACCCAATTTTCGAGTTTTTTCACTTTTCCAATCGCCTTGAGGTGGTCAGCGACGGTCGTTTTACTGACTTTGAGTTGCTCTGCAAGTTCTCGAACAGTTGTTTTGGGGTTTTCTTCCACCACTGATCGCAGAACATCATCATTAAGAGAGGAAGGCCTTCCACGACCTTCTTCATCTTCAAGGCTGAAATCTCCCTCCCGAAATTTTTTAAACCACCTTTGCACAGTGCACTCATTAACACAACCCTCGCCCCAGACTTGGTTAATGTTTCTAGCCGTTTGGGCTCCGCTTCGGCCGAGTTTAAACTCGTAAAAGAAAATCGTACGAAATTCTCGCTTTGACATTATAAGGATGACTGAATTATTTCCAAGTAGCGGAATGCTACAGAGGTAAACAAACAATATCATTTGGAAGAGGATTAATAAGTGTTGACATTCATACAAATGAGTAATCCTGTAAACGTAAACAGAATATTTTATATAGATTTTTTTTAATGAAAACTTAAAATCCTGCATTATTTTCCGGACAACCCAATAGGTTATGGTGGACATTCGTACAAAATGTTTGAAAAAGTGTCTTGTGTACATTTCCATGTATACAAAAGTTACTCTTTTTTTAATCTTTTATTCTTCTACATTATGTGGTGACCATCAGAGGTTCTGAATTATGCATCACTCTCTCCATTTGGCCATATGTATTTGATACTGTTAAACTTACTTTTGCATGTATCTGGCATGTAAACGGTCTTGAAGAATCCGACTTAGAGTGTCACTCTATGGCTCCAAAGGGGATGCCACCTCATATGAAAATTGTGCTTGAGCACGGCAGCAAGTCTTTGAGTACATTATTGCTATATTTGGAAGAAACAGGGGTACTCTTCTATGTATACTTTTTCTTTGTATAGTCTTTAGTTCTAGTATGTATATTGTGTTAGATACATAGCAAAAATTTTGTATTAAATTATCATGGGAGTATATTATTGGGTACCTCTTCGACGTTAAAATCCCTAGGACTTAATTTTGAAGGGCACAACAAAGAAGGCCTCGATCTGATCCAGTTTTGATAAATACAATGTGTTTGATGAGAACCCCCTGAACCCTTTTGTGGTAGTAGAAGAATTGTAGACCCATCAGGCAGTGGGTTAAGAATAATTTAATAACTCAAAAACGTAATTAATGAACCATTACAGAAACTTAAGACAGAACTACTAAACCTTGGAAGCATATGTACATGCTCGAGCAACAGATTGCCTGTAAGAAGAAGAAACAGCAAATCATGTTCTCTGTTGGAGTGAAGGCCTATGCAGGCTGAGATTCCTACTTCTGGAAATAGAAAAGCCAGGGCTGAAGATTACAGGATCCATTGATAAAAAAAAACTTAAGCTTAACAAAGAGCTCTAGGTAATAATGGATATTGCACAACAGATTGTCAGGAGGACACCTTTTAACAAAAACCCCTACCATATATACAGCCCAGCAGTAATAAAACCAACTTCACCGGCTGCAAGAAAAGCCTCAGTCGCTAGAAAAGTCTTCCCCACAAACGACAGTAAAATTATATCATAAACCAATATTAGTTGCAGTGCACAAGGTTGTAAAGATGTAACCCTAACCTTATATACTAGCCAAGCACTAATAAATCATATACTACAGGTTACAAACAAGCCTTGATCACTTTTCAAGTTGAAAGCCATGCTTAAACACAGTAAAATTAGTTACAAAGTCAATATTAAATATTAGTCCTGGTGCACAGTCCTAAAGAGGCTGTCCTTTCAACCATAACCTCCATGTAATGTTGGTCTAGGACAGTAGTTCTCAACCTTTTCTAATCAAGAACTTTACCCATAATATTCATACCCTTTTTCATCGTATGCACATATGGCAACATAACTAAACTGCTATATTACTAATCCTTTATATTTCGTGGTTCGATTGACCAAATAACTTCTTTCAATTAATTAATCTAGCAGGATTCGAACCCACGACGGCGAAGGTCATGGGTTCAAATCCCGTTTGTGACACTAGCTTTTTTATTTCAACCAATACCTTACATAAAGATTGTATTACTAATATTATTTGCAGCTAGTTAGACATTTGCACGTGTGATTTCTTCGTATGGTGATGAACCTATAATTTGGTCATTACTTATCATTTTGGCTCAACACCAGACACACTGAAGATGGCGTAATGCCAAACCACAGTTTGACAGACTAACCAGCATGGATAAGCAGGCCAAAATGATCAGTGAAGATCAAATAGCAGGTTCATCAGGATCACAGGAGGAAATCTCATGATTCCTTTATGTTAATATTTTCACATGGTGTATATTTTTTCATTACTAAGATTTCTCCTTTTTATTATTTATTATTTTTATTATTATTACCGAATAATTTTTTCTTGTGTTACAGAGGAGATGTACAAGTTCATAATGGAGCAGCTGAAGTCGAACCGGGTTCCTCTTTGCATAAACCCGCTGTCGGCTGCCTTCAAGAGCTTTGCCAGGTAAGGCAAGAGGTAGCCGAGTCAACCGTTCGCCTTCACCGCCTCTCCACCAATGGTATTGAGCCCCCACTTCACCCCGCAACCTGCTGCCACCCACTTTATGTATGTCTGCTCAATGGCCTGCTCACTTGTCACTTTCACATGCAGGTTCAATTAAAAAAATAAATAAATAAAATAAAATAAAAATACAATAATTCCAGGCACAGTTACTAATTACAGCACAGTGAGTTGTTGTATTAAGTCTAAAATAAATAAACTTTGCATGAACTAAAAAAATAAGTGAACATTGAGAGTTCCGGAAGAGCAGATACATATCGTGGTTATCTTTCGCTGGCCTTACCACTTGTTTTATACTGCCCCAGGCTCAAAACTTTCTGTGTTGGTTCTTTTTCTTGTTACAATGAAAAAGAAAAAAAGAGCAAATACCCATAAAACATCCCTTTTAACTGGTTTGTGTCGTGTTGCGGGCTCAACATTGTTTAGTCTATGACACATTACCCTTTTAAGTAGTGTTAGCTACTTTGCCCTCGTAGAATTTTGGTTGCTTAAATTAATCTTTTTTATTTTATTTTATTTTTTTGTACTGAATTTTGCCTGTGGTAAGGTGGTGTGAGATGCCTTTTTTATTTGTCTTTGTTTGTGTTAGTGTATCTCTTTGTAAACATCTAGGGAGATATATACTATATATAGTTTTGCGCTGTTTTTTGTGTTATTTATTTTATTGTATTAATCAACTATCAATAGTTTAATCTTTTGTTTTAAAAAACCTAATGATGAACTTAAACAACATAATTTTTACATTACGGCTGTCTTTAATGGTGCATGACACGAAATTTTTGTTTTAATGGGTATTTAAGCATAGCATGTTTCTTAGCTTTTCTAAATCAAGTTGTTAGACTGAATACAAATAGTTTTATTTTTGTTATTACTTTATAGTGTTTTCTACTACCTTTAATATTTTCTTTTAATATTTTTCATGTCTTCTTTTGTGCAGAATTTGGTTCTATCACATTTTGGATTGTAATTAAAAAGTTCTATTGAATTAAAATAAACGCAATAAACTTTCTGTGTCATAATAATTACAAATAAACAAACCAATGATATAGTTTCTACACACATGCATTTGTGAAAATTTTATTTTGGATTTAACCACTTGTTTGTTGCTCTTTTAGACATTTTTTCCTAACTTACAAGGGAATGATATATTAGTGGGATCTTGGATTTTAAGTAAATTTTCTTTTATGATACTTGAACGAAAATTTTAGACACATGCCCAAGTTCTAGCCGAGGGCCCAAGGAGCTGAGAAAAAATTAAGTAATTCAAATACATTTTTTTCCTTTGCAGTGCATGTATTTCTTGGTTATTATATATTAGTTTTTTCCTTTTTTTTAGAAATATAAAAGGTTACAAAAAGAAAAAGACTCTTCCAGTAAAGTAGGACATAGAAAATTGTTTTTGAACAAAAATCACTGGATTCGTTCTTAAATATGAATTTTTATAAAAATAAAAACAAGCAAACATTTTTGGGACTGGATGAGCCCAGGGGCAATTTTTTTTCTCTGATGTACTTATGTCCCATTTAAAAATTCATCTCCTCTCAATTTTATTCAAATTGAACATATACATAACATTTAGGAAGGAGAATATTTCTTCTTTCAGGCTATGTCAACATCATTTTGATATTATGTAATTATCAGTGAGCAAAATATAGATGAAATATAATAAAACTGCTCAAACATTTCATTTTATATTTCCAGTTGTAATTAATTTAAGGGGCCAACGTTTATGTCATTACATGCAGTTTATAAGGTTCTAAACCCCCTGTCAGGTTTCGGTAAATCGGTGGAGTATTTTCATAGTTATCCCTGTTTTTGAGATATTAAAAAAAAAAAAATCACAGGCAAAAGTTAAGAGGGGAAAAATATATCTTTTATTTTCCCGAAAAATTGTATTCAGGGTTTTTTGTGTGCAGAAAATGAATTCCAACTTTGTTTTTGTTTTTTTAAATAAATAACCTACTTTGCTATGTCACTCGGTCACAGATTAAGTTATTCATATCTAGGATACACATACTAAGGCAACAATGTTGACACAGTGACTGCTGGCTGAGCAAGTAGCATTATTTTCTTATTGTAGATTTAAAAAAAACTAATTGAGAGATATATGTACTACAAAGGCAGAAAAATGATTTAAAAATTAGTTAAATTAGCTTTTTTTCTCCTTGGGCCTGGTGGCAAGAACAATTAGTCACATATTTAATATTTTTCAACTTTGTATCACCAAAATAATGATGGTTTACTAAAATTGGTTTTACTAAAATTCATGACCCCATCTTTATAGTCTCCCTAGTTTTAGTGCATCAGAATAATTTTTAAAAACAACTATTCAAGATATGTCAGAAGTAAAAACAGCGCAAATAATCCTTTATCTTATCGATTTTTGTAGTTGAAATTATTTTTTATTCAAAAATTAAATTGTAAATATTATCTGATTGTGTTACAGTTCGACGATAGCACATCCATCAGAGCTACCACCGTCACCACACCAATGGGAGTGACAGTGACATCTGCATCAGCCTAGGTTACTCTTCCATTGAATTACAGGCAAAAACTAAATTGAAAAGAAACATTCAAGGAAAGGACATAACTAGTTTTATTTAAAGGAAAAATAAATAGCCCAACAAAGAACTTAGCTGTCCATACATAAAATTGATTAGTGTTTCGTCGTGTAGTATATTTTTTTGTATGTTTTTTCACAAGGGTACGCTTTAACATAGAGCTGCTGGACTGAGACTTTTGAATCAGATCTTTCAAAACTTAAGATTTTGAGAGCCAGTATTAGTGAAAAGAAATCAAATATTAAATTTAAATGTGAGGCTTTCAGTGTAGGTTTTCCTTGTCACTCGTTTTCTCCTAGGTAAACTTTTTTCCTCTAATTGTTTATTTGTTAAATAGACTATGCCAAAACACTTCACAAAATAAGATGACCAAGTATTGATAAATGTTTAAAATGAGAAAAAAATTGAATATTTAGTGTTTGTAATGCGATTTTCAATGTATTGCGATTATCACATTTTATCAAATAAAAAATGGAGAAAATTGTATGTAAATATTAATTTTTGAGCATATTGAAAAGAAAAAAACTTCTCCGCCAAATAAAATTTAAAAAAAAATTGTATTTAAATCGAAATCTTAAAAAGAAAAAATGCATAATGTAGATATTAGACTAATGTTGAGACAAGACTTACCCATCATTTTTAGGGGTTTTCATTTAACTTTTATTATTTAGTTTAGTTTAAGATTCCTTGAAAATTAGCCTCTTTAGCATCTTTAGTTATTTCTTTCTTTTTGATGTATATACAAAATGATGTATCATTATTGCGCAATTTTTTTCTCAAGTAACTATAACATGATGTTGATTTTGGTGGCCTAATTGAGTTTCTTAGGGGAAATATGTTTATGAGTAGCATGTAAGTTTTTTTAATTCAGTGATTATCTGAATGCACTCTTTTTTTATATATAATTTTTTTGATCTCAAATCAAAAAGTTTTCAAATATTTGCAATTGTTATAAATTCCCTCATTGATAAAACAGTAAAAATTTTAAATAACTATATCAGAAATATAATTTTCACTTAGATTTAAAAAAATTAAAGATTTTCTTTTTCAAAATCACTTTTTTTAGACTTTTTAAATGCTTCTTCTCTGGGGCGATTTATAACAATATTCAGGATTTTCAGATTAAAAAGATAAGAAAAAAGTAAAATCTTTCTGTATAGAGAAAATTTCCAAAGATCTCATAATTTTTAATCATTTCCTCATTTCCTCTATCTTTTCTTTCTTTTTAAGTCTTTCTTTTAAGTTGGTAAGCCATAGGGGGAATGATTGCAACTTAGTTATTTGTGCGTAATGAATTATCTCATTTATTATATTTCTTTTCTCCAATAAGATGTAACAAAAAATAAAAATAAAATAAAAATTCTGAGTATTATTTTTATAAGGTGTTAGGTTAATTGGGTAATTGTATGTGTTCTTTGGTGTTATAGTAAAAAAAAAAAAAATAAGATTATTAGATTAAGCAAACAGCATAAACCCTTTTTTCAAACCAGAAAAAAAGTATAAAAAAAGTATAAGTTAAAAAAAATTTAAATGTAAAAACGTAAGCGTTAGCAAAGAAAGAATTTCAGGGTTAATGTTCTTGATGTTTCGCTTAGATTATTGTGATTGAATAGAGATTTGTAAGGGCATTGTAATTGTGGTTCTAACTTTTTTTTTCTTTTTGCAATTTATATTGACTGAATTTACACACTGCCATATTAAGGCTCTTTATTTGCATTCCTCGTTAATAAGCTCATTTCAGTTTAATTATTTTTATCAATTTACATTTTGTTTGCTCACAACATACACCGATTCACCTCTGCGCCGTAGAGCAGTTCTTGAATTCTGCCCTTTTTTCGGCATGACCTCGTTTCGCCCGATGTATCCTCTAGCTGGACGAAGCGATGATTTTTGTAAATAGAGAAGTGATTTTTTGTACATATTCCAATTCGAGGGTATTTAGTGTTAAGGGTCATTGGTATATGTATTTGTGTTATGCCTTTAATTGTAAGCATTTTTTCGTACCCTGCACTATTTTTAACATTTCCCCTCTTCCTTGACAAAATACATTTCTTTAATTTTTTTGTCCTTTATTATTTTTTTAAAACACAATTTCATTTTAGTTTATTTGTAAATATTTACTAATTATTGCTTTACTGATGTCCTTATTCGCATGAATGGCAAAGGATAAAATGATAGACTTTATACTGTTAAGCACATAGTTATTGTATATATAGACAGTGTTGTATATATTATCCCATAGGTTTGATACTAAACAATGGAAAGATTTAATTATAGTGTAGCTAGTTTAGCCCTTAGCTATTTTGCTGACAGTCTGTGAATTATGAATTTCTATTAAACTTGAAACTTTACACACAAAAAAAGTGATAAAAAAACACATTATCGATATAATAAATGTGGGTGTTTGTTCGTTTTATCGGTGTATTTTGATTTTTTTGGGATTAGGATATTTATATAGTAGGCATCCAATTTAATTTGTACAACGGCCGACTAATTGTCCACAATTGTATTAACAAAATAGTATATTTTCTTCTATGTAATTATGAATATTTGGAAGGAATTTAACTATATTTAAAAAAATTGCATTTAGGGATAAAGAGGATTTTCAAAATAGTAGACCACTCGCTATTGTGATGTTTAGATAAAAAGAATTAAATAAAAATATATTATCGTTAATATATCCTTCCCTGGCCTCATAGAATAAGATTTGTGATTGTATTTCAGCCCGTATTCATTGTGTCTTCTTGTCATTTACTTTTGAAAGATAAATGTTAACTTTTAAAAATAAAAAAACTTTTAAAAAAAACACCATTTATGTAAATTTAAAAAATAAAGTAATAATAAATAGCACTAATATTTCAAAATCTATAAATGTCTATTTGAAATGTCTTCAATAGTATCATGTTGTAGCTTTTATGGCAAACGTGTTTTTTGAAATAAATAAAATGTATCTTTTGCGATTCACTACTGTCGATAAACTGTCAATTATAGGATTCAATCTTTGGCAGTGCGTTATTTGTTTTCCGATTTTTTTTTTTTAATTCATGTTTTATCTTTTTTTAAAGTAAACACGATTCATGTTTATAGGTGATAGGACATAGTGTGTAATAGATTAGATTGCACATACTTGGTGTCTAGTAAAAAAAAAAGATGTGTATCGAGTGAATCTTAAAAGATACCGCAAAGGGTTGCAACGTTCAAAACTGTTTTATTATCAAAATCCTCCCGTCGATATCGAAATACACCTAACTTCAAAATAAAAAAAATTTAAATTTAAACCAATTAAACTTTTAACAACGAACACACTTATTATAGGGGTCCTATATTGATTGCAACTTCAAAGCCATGTGATAAAACAAAAAACTTTTCTCTCTTTCTTCTCTCTCTCTTTCACTCTCTCTTGTAATAAACATTTTTACATTAATGTTTTTCTCTATTTTGTTTTATTATTTCATCAGAGTCTGTTGATTTGAACATGCTCAACTTTGTAAATAGTTTAATTACAACCACGCTTTTTACAGCAAAACAGAAAATGGTGAATTAGTTGTTAAGAAGACAAATAGAAAAGTTAAGAAGTGATTGCAACCTACTTAAGCATTAATAAATAAATTACTAAAATAAAAATGAAAAAGGTGTGCTTGTTTTATTTTTTATTCTAGATGTGTCGTTTGTATCAAGTACCTCTTTCATATTAATTAACATAAAAGGGAAAAAGATATGAAATAGTATAGCTAGCTATTGATTAATTAGTGACTGGTTGTGTACTTTGAGGCCTTCTAGATAGATGTATTTAAAAAACATGGTATATCTGTTTAATTATTATAAATAAGGTGACCTTCCAGACTTAAAACTTTAAAAAAAAACTAAATATAGAGAAACATTGAATAAATAAATCAGTTAATTTTAGATGTCCATTTGTAGTATTAGTATAATAAAAAATGTATATATTATAGAAAAAAAATTTACTCTTTTAAATAATAGAGGAAAATTGTTTTATTTGATAAATTAAATTTTCGAATATTTCTTCATAGATAAATAATTTTAGTCTTTTTAAATTGGAATTGTAATTAAAAGCTCTTTAGCCAGCCACACTCAATGTGGATTTTTTAAATCGAATTCAACTTAATCTCTATACATCATTATCGGGTCAGGGTTTCTAATTGTCTGGAGCGTCACCTGGTTTTTATTCCCTTTTATTGTTTTGTTTTTGTTCCATATTGATCAGGCGAAAACAGCATGTTAAGTATTGTACATTGTGAAAAAAAAGTTGTATCCAGTATTTTCATCACTGGTTATATGTCAGCTTTGAAAAATTGTAAAATTTTGATGTTAATGCCAGTTCAGTGTACTCAGAACTTAAGACGACAAAAACAACTATGTAATTAAAGTGAACGTGTAACATAATTGGGAGTTTTATTCTCAACAAAAATCCTTTCCTTACCATTTATTCGAAGCCTGCGACACCTTTTCCAGGCTCTTTGTATTATATTTTTTCTATGTGCTGATTACCTATGAGCCAGGCTGGGCTATTGAACACTGTGCCAAGGAGATAAAAAGGAACCAACAAAAATTACTCGAACAGTCACTAAAGCCACTACCTCATTGGTTTTAACGTCCAAAGCCATTTGGGTAGGATCGCATTAAGATTGGGGACAAAATTACTGTTGTTTGGGTACCAGGGCACACAGAAAAGCAATAACGAGGCAGATAAATTGTCCAAGGAAAGTTCGATGAGGACATCCATTGACCCCTTAAGTCTTTTGTTAACAAGTGAGATCCATCAAACAATGGATGAAGAATTCAATGGATTTATATTCCAGGGCAGAAGCATGGAAAAAAGTTTCAAAGAACCATCCAAGAAACTAATGGCAGAACTATTAAACCTTCCAAGAAACTAATGGCAGAACTACTAAACTTAGCGTTAGGACTTGAATGAAATTATGACCAATCAGAAACACTCCAGATCGCCAATTTTGCCGTAGACTGTTGTGAAACAGGATGATCTAGAACCTTTGTCAAGCGTCCACACCTGTACAGCTCAGTTAAACTAGTTTCTGCATAACATGACAAGTGAGATAGTGTGGGTTTGCTGCTTGTTCAGTTTTAATTTTTGATCAAAAAAGGAAAATTAATTATAAATATTGGTAGACAAGGAACATTTTAGCAGATGGTCCTACATTTGGATTGATTCTTCTGGAAAAAATAAAAGTTGAAGATAGTTCAGTTTCAGAAATTTCACCCGGCTAACCACCATGGATTTTCAAAATTTGCTACATATGGTTGGAATTAAAATATGCAAACAAGAAACAAGATTCAGAGCAACCATTCCAGCTCCTCTGTTATTGATGCTGCGCAACATGTATCAAATTTTCCATCCGAGCTGGTAGACCATAGACTTGCGATTTTTGTCTTCAGGTAGTTGCAGAACAAGCAATTTGTTCCCGATTTGTCTATAGAAATCTATAGACATGAGTTGCACAATTTTGTCTGCGAGTATGTGATAGCCTTTATAGACACAAAGCAGCAGATTACCAGGAACAAGAAGAAACAGAGAAACATGTCCTCTGTTGGTGTGAAAGCCTATGCAGGTCAATTCCTACTTCTGGATGAGGAAAAGCCAGGGCTAAAGATTACACACGTGATCCATTAAAAAGACTTAAGCATAACAAAGAGCTCTAGATAATAATGGATATTGCCCAACAGACCAATATTGGTCATGGTTTGCAAGTTACGAGTCATTACAAGGCCGAATCCTTTTAACCTTGTGGTGACCCAGAGGAACCATCACAGACGGCCCTATCCAGGGCCTCATCACCACCCATCTCTCGCCTCTCCCCCCCCCAGGTCGGTTCTGCCCATGGAGAGCGTCCACATCCACCGGGAGTGGGGGGAAAAGGATATATGCCAAAAAGGAGGAGAGAGGGGGTATTCTGTTTCCTAACCTGAAGGTTGCTGGACGGCGGAAGAAGAAAAGGGCTGATTGCGGAAAAAGAGAGAAAGCAGAGAGGAGAGAAAGGAAGAAAGGAGGACGTTTTCCCGGACGGGACCAACGCAGGACACCGGACCACCTCAGGAAAGGTAGGCAGGCCTCTTTTTTCTTCGCTCGCCCCCATATCTCTGAAGACATTCATTTGATATTAATAAACGGATGTAAAAAAGAAATCTTTCATGTAAATAAAATTCTTGTTTTCTAACTGGAGGGAAATTTTGGGATCCCAAACTCTACCGTGCTCCCCAGCTCCTGACAGTAAAAATCACTACAACCTATACCTTTTATACCAGCCAAGCAGTAATAAAACCAACTCCACAGGCTACAAAAAAGCCTCAATCACTAAAAAAAACTCTTCCCACAAATGCCAGTAAAATTATACCATAAATCGATATTAGACAGATTTTATGCAATTATGGGGTGAATAAGTAGATTCACTTTTTGTAAAAGATGGTTGTACTTACCAATTTGTTGTTCTATCAGGTTTTCAAGCTTAAAGCTCATCAGGTTGAAAGGAGTTACAAGCCACTTGAAGTCTCAACATGAATTGTAAGAGTGAATCCTCCAGTCCCCATAGGGTTTACCAACTTAATTGCAATTATTGCGATAATAAATACATAGGACAGAGAAATTAAAACGAGAGTTAAAGAATTAATATTAACACTTAATATTAAAATCGAACAAATTTCCTGGATTTAAGGACCATCAAAATGAAACAAAACAATTTAAATTTAAGGACAACGGTGTTATTGTTTCAACAAAGGGCGGGAATTAGATCGGTTTGAAAATCTGGGGAAAAAATGCATAAATAATATAATAGATTTTGATCTACCTTCTATTTTAAACATGTACCTAAATAATATTTGACCTACAAATTAATCTCTAATCTATAATTCTTTTCTTATAATATTTATTAGAATAATATTTAGTTGTATTGTAATTAACGGTTTTTGCACATTCAAAATTGAGCGCCAATAACAACCAGATTGCCATTGGAACTCATTGTCACGTTGGCGGGGATTGGCGGGTCCTTTCTTACAGTTCGTGTCGAGACTTCCAGAGCCGTGCTTGTAACTCTTTCAACCTAATTATGAGCTTTAAGCCTGAAATCCGGAAAGCTGTAAACAACAAATTTGTAAGTACAACAATCTTTTACAAAAACTAAACCAATATTGGTCACGATTCGCAAGGTTGTATAGAGCTGCTAAAGTACTGCTTTTTACCCTAACCCTAACCTTATATAACTAGGCGAGCAGTAATAAAACTAATATCACAGGCTGCAAACAAGCCTATATCACTATTCCAAGTTGAAAACCCTCCTCAAACACCTGTAAAATTTGCTCAAACGCTATTTGACATGGTGCTCAGGTCCTAAAGAGGCTGAAACTTTTTAACCTTAACCTCTGTGTAATGTTGGTCTAGGACAGTGGTTCTCAACCTTTTCTAATCTGGAACTTTACCCATAATACTCATACCTCGTCATACCGTTTTTCACCAATGCACATATGGCAACATAACTAAAATGCCTATTACTAATATTATTTGGTACTAACTAGTTAGACAACATTTGCATGTGAGATTTCTTCGTGTGGCCTGTGGGGTGATGAACCTGTAATTTTGACATTATTTACCATTTCGGCAGCAGGTTACCAGGAAGAAGAAGTAACAGTGGAATCTGTCCTTTGTTGGTGCGAAGGCTTTTATAGTCAGAGATACCTACTTCTGGGAGAAGGAAAAGCCAAAGCCTGAAGTATACACACAGATTGGATCTGACAAAAAGCCTAAAGCCATTCAAAGGGCTCTAGATAATGGAGATTTTTTTTTGTATGGAGGTACGAAATCACATCGTACATGTATATGATATGCTCATCACACCAGGATCCATGGGAACAAAGTGCAAAGCCTGGAAGCAGGCGGGAAAACAGGCCAGTGCTGGGAGGAATTACTTTTTCAGGGGCTTAGTGTGAAACTCGTTTGGAAGAGGTAGATATATGACACAAATCCTATGGAAAAGTCCAAATCTTCCCCAAGTTCCAGGGCAAAACTGCCCAAGTCTCCCTTGACACCCCCTCCATAGTCTGCCACCAACCTGGCTACACATCCAGTACAATGGAGGTTACATGATTAATATTGATCATAAAGAAGCCAACTCCTTCACCTTACCTCACTCGAGCCATGGGTCTGATGATTCTCTACTTTTTTCCAGTTTGCGTACTGGTTCATTTCCTCGACCCCAACCTATATAATACTCTTACCTAGTCATACCCTCATCCTTTCCCAACATATGCCCAGTCCAAAGATGTATTAGTCGAGGGGTGTATTATACTATACCCTTTAAGAGCTATTGTATCCTAGTTAAGATGTATATTAATTGCTCTTTTAACCTTAACCTCCATGTGAGCCATTGGTCTAGGGCAATAATTCTCTACCTTTTCCAGTTTGCTTACCGGTTCAGATCCTCCACCCCGAATTAAATATTCTTTTCAATGTCGACCACTTTTTCACTCGTTTTTCACTAGATCAAGGTATGGTCTTGAAGGAAAAAGGAAATTCACTTGTTACTGCAAAGCTTTTTACCTTTTTTAAGGTCATTATAAGGGCAAAATAATCTTAAATATGTCTACAGGTTGATATATTTTAGTTTTATACATGTGATCTCAAATTTCCTCAATACTGTTACAGTCCTTGTTAGTGTCAGGACTGAGTCGGTCTTCAAGAAAATCTATGCTCGACTTAAATATGTCCATCTGTATGATGATTGTTTTGCCCTGATGATGACCTTAAAAAAGATCGAGATCGTGGCAGAAACAACTGAATTTCCTGTTCTCTTGAAGACCATACTTGAGCTAAATACTCTTACCTACTTCATGCCCTCATCTTTTCCGGTCATATGACCAGTCCAAAGAATTTAGTTAATTGCATATTAATTGCTCAATCCTTTCATTCTAAAAAATGACTATTGAGAAGTAAATTTTTAAAACATAGGTATGATTCATAAATCTTATCAATCAATACCAACTTCTAGAGCAGATACAAAATTTTAACTGTCACTATAAGACAAACAATTAAAAATTAATGAGAATCTATTTTGCTCCAGTATTTATTTTTTATATAAGATCAAATTATTCTACAAGCTCTGTGGTAGGAAAGGGCAACAAAATCATACCTTCCATTCTTGAGAGGTCAGACTATTCTTTACTTAGTTCAGTTCAAAAAGTGACCATGTTCACGGTTTTGCCATTGTAAATGTCTTTTAACATGGTATCAGAAGCAAGCTCCAGTAAGTTTTCCTTCTCAGTTCTCATGTATTGAAAATAAAGACTGTTTAAATTACTCTTTTTTAGTGATTGATATCTCATGATGACCCATTTTTGAATCTTAAATCACCTCATTACAGATCAATTATTGAGTTTCCCATTTTCAAATTTGGCTTCAGCAATTGTTAACTTCTATTCCCAGTAAGAATCTGATATAATGAGAATTTCTTAATTCCAATAAAAATAACAGGAAATAATATGAGGATTTTAAAAATGAATAGGAAATTGAAAAATTGAAAACGGTCATTTTTATTGACTCATCCCAATACAATATCACATTTGGATTATTAAATATACTCAATAATTTATTTTATGCTTTATAAAGTTTCTTAAACATTTAACATTGTTATAATAATTTCAATAATTAAAAACTTAATAAGCACTGACTACGTCAGATCTATTATAGTTTCGGTTGATGTCTACAAGAGAAATTCAACTCGTTAAATGACACTTGCAGTTTGATTGAAAATTACCTTTGGCACAGTAATTTCTCTTAAGCTCATCGGACCTTTTTTTTTAAATAGCCTTCGCCTAACTGTAAATACAAAGCAAAATTAAAAACTAAGAAAATGGCTAAAAGCAAAAATCAAAAATACAGAACGTCTAAAAAAAAACAAAAAAAAAATTCTACATACTTGTGCGCATCATACTTTCACGTGCGCACAGGCAATTAATTTTTGGTGTTGTCACCAAGGTGAGGTTCCCTTATAGTACTCACAAATATTAGTAGAACAACTATACTAGAACAATTAAATCTAATTGTATATTCACAATACACAATATAATTTTGTACATAAATAACTTTTATTAAATATATAATATATATATATAGGACTATTCTAAATCTGGCTTTTCCTGAGTTGCAAATTTTCAAAAAACCTGCAATTGGGTTGTTTCTATCTCTCTAATTTACTTCCTTTTTTGTAAACAAAGTTTTTTGGACCCAATTTACGCAGACTTATTTGAAAAGATTTGAGATTATTTTAAAGGAACCCTTAGAAACTAGATATAACACTAATATTATAATATCATATATTTTTTATGTTAATAAAATCTTATGCACACATATATATTTAAAAACTTAACGTTTGACTAATGACTAATGCTATAAATAGAGCAATTAGGTTATAATAAGGTTTTGAGTTAATGGACATAAAGCTGCCATTGAGTTAGATAATGAACGACATTGCTGTGGTGTGCTTTCTTTGCCAGCTCACAAGGAGTAGCACCTTCTTGGTTGGCGAGCTTTGGATCCGCTCCAGCACGGATTAACATCTTAATGACAGGCAAATGACCAAATAGGCAAGCAGCATGTAGGGCGCTTTCACCATTCTGTAAATTATTAGAAAGGTTATTAGGAATAAAAGTTATTAGGAAAAAACAAACTGTTTCAGAAAAAAGATCAAAACACGTACAGGTAAAATTCCAAGGTTTGGTTTGTACTTAAGAAGTTCATGCACGACATCAATGTACCCTTTGTGACACGCTTTAAATAGAGGGGTGGCCCCATTCTGTGAAAATAAAGAAAACAATTTAGTACCAAAATTATTTTTAAAAAATTCAAATTACTTTTCGCAAAGTATCAACTGGATGGCCGGCCTTAAGCAGCATTTTGCAGACATCACTGTGATTCATCTGTGATGCGATCCAGAGTGGAGTTGCCGAGTCAAGTCGTGACATGGACACTCTGGCACCGTGAGAGAGCAGAAGCTGCACCACACTGCAGTGGCCGTTCTGTGCAGCAATGAAAAGTGGTGTTGCACCATCCTGTAAAATAAAGAGTCATAAAATCTGCGTAAAGAGAATTTGTGAATGACCTACCTTCATTTGCTGATTCACTCTAGCACCATGCTTGATGAGCAGTTGAATCATGTCAAGATGTGCATACTGACAGGCAACAAAAAGTGGTGTCCCTCCATCCTGAAAAAAGATATTAGATTGCATATTTGGTAAAAGTGCTGTTATTTAGTAGTAGTAGTACATTAAATTCTGGTATACAGTAGGGCATAACCCCTTGGGTGTTGTGGACAAGAAGTCCAACCATTTTACAATACTATATTATGATCAATTATTACGACTTGGGGGAAAAAAACACTTGGCCATCAAAATCATACGGTCCTATGGTGGTAGTAGTAGTAGTGTAGATTAATAATAAGTAAATAAAGTAATTCCTACCACATAGGAGGGCTAATAATGTCCAACTACATGTTTGGTGTTGTGAACGAGGAGCCAAACTAATTTACAATATTTTCTCCATATTATTCACAATTAAAAATTCATAGGCAGTAATGAGATTTGAACTCAAGATTTCTAGTGTGGCAATACAACTTGTATAACTCGTATGGCCTAATCACTCAGTCATCACAGTCCCATTAGCAAATACAGTTCAATCCCGATATATATTCAAGGGGACAAAGGATAAGTGCAATATATCGATAAATTTACTATATCAAGATGTATATCGAGGGTAAAAAATGAAAAGTTCACTAAAAATAAAATAGCCTGCAAGGATAGGTAGACTAACATGATCAGGAATGACCAAACTAATAAAATAACACCCATGTGTTCTCAGATTTCTTTCAACATTTCCAACAAATTGGACAGGGCAGTTCTTAAACAATTTTCAAGAAGTAGTCATATCAAAAATGAAACAGGGAGTTGATTAGAGTAGGGGTGAAAATAAACTCTAGCAAAACCACTAGGACTTGTCCCAACAATCTTCCATGCAATCCTACTCTGCGCCCAGGGTTGATAAAGATTATGAAGAAGTACTGATTTACATACTGTTGGATAGTCGTAAAGGTACTAAATGCGTATGCTTTTAGCTCAGAACTAGTCTGGTAACGCCTAAATTGCCTAATGACGCTAGGAAAACACAACAGCTTATCCTCCCTGATATGGTCTGACAGTTATTTTTTGGCTCCTCACTTTATTTATACCCAAGTTGTACAGTTAAGATATACAGGCCAAAACGGTCAGAAATGACCAAACTAGGTTTATCATCTGCAGACCCCCAAGAGGAAGTCTGTTTCTAAATCTAATTTAATTTTTCCTGCCTCCTTCTATTAGTTTTCTACTTTTTGAATATTGTACGTCTAAGAATGTTTTTAAAACTTGTATTTGTTAGCATTGTTTATTCTTGATCGTCATGGGTAAACGAGAATTTAAATTTCAGTTTACTCCCAATTCTGTTGTATGTGACTGAGCACAGTGTACAATTTTCATCCGAGTGGAGACAAGGTAGTCGAAGTTCGATGTTAATCGAATCGGGAAAATAATCCGTTTTCCTCCCGTCCAAAATTGGAGAGGAAAATCAGGTGAAGCCTCTTGCAAGGGTTAATTGGGCCATTTGCCTTCCCTTATAGAGTTACAAGGCGTCGCAGGTTCTAAATAGAAAACTAAATAACTAAATAGAATAATTGTTAAAAACATATTGAAAAGATAAAATCTTACAACGCTGGGTATGTCCACGGGAGTCCCACTCCTGAGGAGAATGCAAGCGATGTCCGTGTAGCCAGATTGTGCTGCGAAAAATAACGCCGTCGTACCCGTCTATATAAACAAACAATAAACAATTCTTATTGAATAATTAAAAACAAAACTTCTAAAAGCAAAACAAACAAAAAATCAATCAGATATGGCTCCGATAGCATGGTTTTAAAGCTTTGTTACAGCAAATATGCATATCAACGAACTAGTAAAACATCTTTAATAGGGTAAACTAAATTTGGTAAAGCCCTCAGTAAAGGAAATGGGATAAAAGCCGGCCTAACGCAAGGGAAAGTTCTAAACCTGACCGGTAGCCATTGAATAAATTACAGACGAAAATTCACTCGAAAATTGTAAAGTTGCGTTTCAAAACTACCAATAAAATCTATAAATATATAACGAGTAAAGTAATGAATGCTGAGGAAATTGCTGAGCTTGCCATCTTCACATATCTGCCGAAGACCCTCAGATAGTCACTTTAAAACGTTAAACTGTAGATAAATTTGGTTCAAAACGTTAATTAAAATAAAGTCAAGTCGAGGCGGTTTAAGTGTTGATACTTCTTACACAAGTATCAGTTTTTAAAAATGCATAGGTGATATTTTTAAATACTAATTAAACTGGGCTGTTAAGTTATAAATGTGCCATTCTAAAAATGTTATTATGCATTGTTCCTTGTGAAGCACTAGCCCGCGATCGCGTATCTTGTCCATTGACCTTCGGCGATGATTAATGTGCGCAAAATCGGTCTAGGATTTCCTACTCTAGAGTATCGGGAGAAAACAGCAAGCTTTAAAAATAGGCCGAGAAATTATTTTCCTTCACCTTTTGAAAACGTGGATTTTATTGTATAACCGTGCGATTTTGTTCCTCGGGTGAGAAAACGGAGTCGGAACCTATGTGCTTCCTGTACATTTTTTGGCTCAAAATCAAAATTTTTTAGCTAAAATTTCTTACAAGAGAAGTCTTTTCCTTACAGATATTTTGAGATCAATAAACTATTAAATTGTATTTGCTTACGTATTACTTATTATCTTTTGTTTATTTTGCATTTATTCATAAACAATTTCATCCTATTTGTAAACAACTGCCTTCGATTTATTATTAAATTAAAGGAAATTGGATTTATAATATTTTTACTGTTTATTTAGGAGTTAGGAAAGCTATAAGTATACAAGATAAATAAAGCAACTTTGTAGTTAACCACTTCTCAGGATGTTTTTAATAAAGAAACTTTTCCTGAAAACTATTCTAAATCCAAATATCAAGGTTATATAATAAATCTAAAAACTAATATTATTAAATATTTTAATTAAATCTAATGTACGATACCCTTAAAATTAAGGAGATATAAAACTGAGGAAAAAGGAAAAACTTCAGCCCACATTAAAATAGATGAAGGTTGTTTGCGAACGGATGTACCAGAATATTACTCAGAAAAAGAAGCTTTAAACTTGCAAGTTCACAAAGATCAATCATTTAATACGATCTTAAATATTATTTTCTTTCCCTAGGTTTAAAAAACACACAAAAAGATTGATATAATATTATACAATAACTTCAATTAATTATTCTTTTTCATCTCAATCAACACCTTAGATAAAAAGAATAATTAATTGAAATAAATAATGGTCAATTATTACCGCTACACATATATGGATTATTATGTAATAACCTTGAATTACATGTACAACCAATTCAGAAAGCCTTATTTTAAATAATTATATAAATCCCTTTAAAAAAATTTGTGTCGGCTCTTACCATTGGCCAACGAGAAGAATTTTAAATGTAATTTATGGTACATAGTTATCTACTTTCTCCATATTAATAGTTAACTAAAAATAACAATTAACTAACTTTTTTTTAAAACAAATGACTGAATAGAAACGATTTTTTTTTCTCCCTGGCCTTACGAAGTACCTAAAATAAACTGGAGTCGCGGCAAAATTGTTCGACAAGTTAACGGCATGTGAAATAGCCTGAAAAATCGCCCATATCAAGAATTGGCATCTAATTACATAATTTCGAGTTCACCAAGAGTGTATTTTCAGTTCAATTAAATATGAAACAATCGTCATGTCCTTTTCCCTTGAAAATAGTACTTCCATGGGCAAAAATTAAAAATACATTAAGCAATAAAGAACCCAGTCTGTTTTCCAAGCGGCTTGCATGAAAATTGCATACGGTCGATGCCCAAGAAACAGGAAGAAACGTGCACTTAGCACCAGTTGAATCTCTATAGGGACTTTCGTCCAGCTTTCGAGGGAAGAACAATGTGACTATTAACATTTCTGAATAAACTAAATTAGGAGGTAGACACAGCATGTTTCATCAAAGGGCGTTGGATCATTTTTGTTTGGTAATATTCAATTTAAAAGGTCTCACTCACGTGTCGCCTTGCTGTCGGATCGGCGCCTTGCTCAAGCAATTCTATTACACATTCTATATGACCATTTGCCGCAGCGAGGATCAAAGGTGTAGTGCCGTCCTAAAACAAAAAAAGAAAAAACAATAATACAAATTAAAACATTCAATTATAGAAAAGTTGAAGCCAGTATAAAATAAGATAAAAAATTCAGATATTTTTTCCTATTTGGGAACACGTACATTGCTTTTGATCAAATCGTCTTGAATTTTGAGAATTATGTAAGAATCTTTGCCAACAGAAGAATTATTGTCAAGGAATAGAATTGTAGTTGTGTTTTCAATGACACTATAACTGATTGACACAAATTACTGCACAACGCAAAACAAAAAATACTGCTTTCCCATGGACATGAGAGAATACCAGGAATCTATACTATAACTACTAGGGCGTTATGTCAAATTTGGTGATACGGAAAAACTTCATATGTACTACTCAATGACCTAATTCACTGAAACGATCCTAGTGCCTTCATTCAATTCTTTTATCAATGATTTCGAAATATATAAGCCATGAAAATTTAAGTTTTTCCATGAGAATGCAAGATGTCTTTAGTAGGTGAAGCACTCGGAAATTCTGTAACTCATTGGACAATGCACTTTCAGATTTACATACTTTTATAACTGCAAAATTAGGTTATGGCAATGAAGTTGGTTTTTCTATATGACAAGGCAGAAATTTTTTTAAGCCGGTGAAACAGCAAAAATTAATGCATTTCTGCATCCAGCCACAATATTTGCCTGACAAAGCGTACAATTGTTTCAAACAAAAAAAGCTATTGAACTGAAAATCAGATCATCACGTACAAAAGAAAAAAACGTTGAGTTTTGACTTTAAAAAGAATACCAACAGACCTGATTGTCAGCTTGTTCGTTTGCTTAGCTCTGGTGTTGCCAGCCGATCTATTTGCTAGTTTGTTTTCAACCCCTGTACAAATGCCTAAGGATATCGATTGAAAAACAAGTCTGACTGGCTGAGTGATTTCGCCAAAAACACCTCCACACGTTGTTCTCAGTAAAGTCAGACATTTTGGCAAGTATTCAGGGTATGCACGCAACCTTGTCCTGTTAAATATGTTAAAAATACTTTGATGGAAATCGTTTGATAAAATTTAATTTTATTCTATTTTGACTACATTTTCGGTCTCTCTTTTTCAATCGCAATATAATCACAATATATTGTGATTATATATATATATATATACATATCGCTTTTATATATATCTATCTATTATATACAAAAAATGATAGTTTACCGAATTTTAAGTAATAAAATTTTTGCAAATATTTTTGGTGTTTCTTCTTGTAAAGATAAAATGTCTAAAACAGTATTAACTCAATATTTCCTTTGATAGCCTTTGGAATTTCCTTTTGACCATCGGTTCTTTATAAAGAGGCATAATTGTTCAGAAACTGAGCATAATAAGGACGATATTGAAGTTATTATTTTAGAAACACTCGCGTACATCCCTTTCCTTTTGCTCTGTGTTCGACTGATTTGATTTTCCATGGCGTTCCTCGCTTACAAAGGGCCGAAAGGAGTTTGTAAAGGGATCAAATATCATTAGGTACCCTTCTTGTCGTGCTCAAAGAGCTGCGATTTCGCCTGTTAGCGTCCAATTTGTCCGATATGGACAGAGATGAAAATAACGACTGAGAATAAGACACCGGCGGGAATATAAAAGGCTGAAACACCTCAGCATAAACATGTAAACACTTGTTCAAATATAAATTCACGTAAAAAGCAGGTCGCATTCTAATATTACGGGTTTAAAATACTCTCGAAATATTATTTTAAACATTTCAAAAATGATTTGATATAAAGTATGGGGATAATTAACTTTAAAACAACAGTTAATTTATTTTTAATGTTTTATTTTTGAAATGAAGCAAAAATAAATAAATACAATCATTTAGAACATGAAACAAGAGTCTTTAAAGCCAACGAGGCCTGCCGTGAAACTTTAAATTTAAAAAATCAAACTTATAATGCTTTAATTTATTGTAGAACCAAATAGGGTGGGCTCATAAAAAGGAAAAGTAGTTTCTATCGATTATCAAAAGTTTAGTCGTTTTCCTCCGTTACAACGCAAGACCTCACAATTATTGGGCGACGCGACACAAATGGCTGCGCTTCCACTCACGCATCGGATTCATTTTTTTTCTTTCTCGCCTTACAAGGTATATATAGCCAGAAGTCCAGCTTGATTATTAGTATCTCACATTACTCTGACTAATTAAAGCTTCGGTGTGAATAGGTTGGGTATTATCTCGTTAATCCAGACGACTTCCATCTATATTTCATTATAAATAACCTTCTCCAATTTCGTTCCAAAAGATCTTATTCTTGACGTATGCAGACAAAAATGCGGTGGTTCTGGTTGATCTATAGCTGGTTTTAATCATGATAATGATATTTTTTTATTAATGAGAAAATTTGAGGGTATTTCTCTCTGATTTTGAAATCTATGGGTATGTGGTTTGAACGACGGAAGCTGCTTGGAACGACACACTTTTATATCCCTTTAATTTCCTTATTAGCATTAGCCTTTGAATTCCTCGGATCCGTTTTACTTTTAGTGATTTTTAAGATTTCTACGTTATATAGGTGCTGCATATATCAATATAGGAATAATTGTACCATTGTTGGTCAGGTCTTGAGATTTGCTTCCTAAGCCCCATAGATTTTGGCAGATATCAATGACTTATGAACAAGTTGACCTGTTTCACTGTACATTACACAGAGTTAATTTCACATTAGCTTTTTGTCAAAAACTGCATCTGTATATTTCAATTCTTCTACTGCTTTAGTGAAGTGTACTTCATATCAATTCTTTAAATTCACTAATTTAGTGGTCCGCTTGAGAAAAATGGCAAAAAGGAGGAAAACTCATAAGGTGGGGTTGAGATAGGAAGTTGATGTCCGAGTGGATCGAGGTCACGATAGCTCAAGTGTTAGAGCAGCGGCGTATCTAGCCGAAGATCGTGGGTTCGAATCCCGCTCGTGCCATTAACTTTTTTTCATCTCAACTAAAAACCTTAATTAATTGTAATGATTTAATTGGTCAAGCGGACCACGAAATTAGTGAATATAAATATAATATGTATATATAAATATATAATTCTAGTCGGGAGAGCTATTGGTTTGAACCCAAGCACAAATATAATGAAAATCAAGTCGCAATCACATACCTACTACATACCGTTATTGTAAGCTCAACTTGGTACATTTTCAAAAATATTAAAGTTATCTTGATTATTAAAAAATATATTTTAGACAGTTTACGTGTACAGATTGTAGATTGCTTACAAGGAAATAAATGTTGTTTTGTTTTGGTGCTATCTATCAGAAAACCATTTTTAATTTTTTCATAGAAGACGTGATGAAAAACGTGTAGAATAGCCGGCCAATTGTACTGGATAATGATCTGGTCGTTGATAGCCCAGGTCACGTCCCCTTTGAAGAGAAGCGTGTACAAAAAGCCCATATACAGAGCATTATACAGTTATCGGGTCACCTAAATGCCGTGAAAGTCTTTTAAAATTGATTTTATTTCATAGTTCGAAAGATTTTTTAAGGACGGGGTTAAAAAAACGGGGTTATTTTTAAAAGATAAGCAAAAAGTAAGCAAGGTTCGCTGGGTTGAACGCTTTTGTTTACTGAAATATGGTGGAACCAGGCTCAGAGTGATTCAGGCGTGAAACGGGCCCTTCATTCCGCCCCACATCCACAGGTTCTATGGTCAATATTCTTTCTCAAAGTTGCCGGAATTACGCCGATAAGGTAGAACAAAAACAACCCCCATCAAACTGCGGCCGAAGGAGAATTGGAAAGAGTAGCGCGGAAGAACGGAATTGCGTGCCGTGGAGTTTAACTAAGAGAAAAACGTGATGTCTCTCAGTTAGCGGTTGTTCCATACCGGGAGAAACATTGGGAAATTGCCTCTTCTATATTCTATAAATGAACGTTACTCGGTTTACTTTAGTCCTTTAGTTTATATTGTCCCATTTAATAATGTGTTGTCTTACCCTATCCGAGCAGTCGACGTGGACTTTTCCGCTGTCCAAGAGTCTCCTGATGCATCTCAAATCACCATTCACAGCGGCCAAATGTAGTTTGACGTCGGAGGGAGTCTCTTTCTGGAAAAAAAGGAAAAATTCTTTCTTAGAATTTAGACTATCAGATCTAAAAATAGATCAATATTCAATTAATGCCAATATAATTTTATTAAGGATTACAGCTTAGAAATAGTTGTCAAGCTTTCGCTCTATATTTGATCTTCCTCAGAGTTAAAGATATAATGTTGATATATAAATAGCAACAATCATTAGTCAATGAGTAAGAGTATTTGTACGTTTACTTTCGATGACACCGCACACACTCACTCTTAAAAAACCTTAAACAGAATATTGGTTGTTTTTTATTTTGAAAAATATGACATTCGAAGCTTACCAAGTTCTCAAGTTCGAATATTTCTCAATATCAGTACGAAAGATCACTCCAAGAAACAGTTAACAACCTGCCGTATAGCAAGCAGCACATTCGGGTTCAAATAGAGCCCAATAAACGAGTAAAAGTTTAGCGTTAAAAGGTATTGGGTTGTCCGGAAAATAATGCAGGATTTTAAGTTTTCATTAAAAAAAATCTATATAAAATATTCTGTTTACGTTTACAGGATTACTCATTTGTATGAATGTCAACACTTATTAATCCTCTTCCAAATGATATTGTTTGTTTACCTCTGTAGCATTCCGCTACTTGGAAATAATTCAGTCATCCTTATAATGTCAAAGCGAGAATTTCGTACGATTTTCTTTTACGAGTTTAAACTCGGCCGAAGCGGAGCCCAAACGGCTAGAAACATTAACCAAGTCTGGGGCGAGGGTTGTGTTAATGAGTGCACTGTGCAAAGGTGGTTTAAAAAATTTCGGGAGGGAGATTTCAGCCTTGAAGATGAAGAAGGTCGTGGAAGGCCTTCCTCTCTTAATGATGATGTTCTGCGATCAGTGGTGGAAGAAAACCCCAAAACAACTGTTCGAGAACTTGCAGAGCAACTCAAAGTCAGTAAAACGACCGTCGCTGACCACCTCAAGGCGATTGGAAAAGTGAAAAAACTCGAAAATTGGGTTCCACACTCATTAAACGATCGCCAAAAAATCAGCGCTTTGATGTTTGTGCATCACTTCTTTGTCGAAACAAAAATGACCCATTTCTGGCCAGAATTGTTACATGTGACGAAAAGTGGATTCTCTACGATAACACTAGACGTTCTGGACAGTGGCTCGACAAAGGAGAAGCTCCAAAGCCCCCAACTCATCAAAAAAAGGTAATGGTTACGGTATGGTGGGCTTCATTTGGTTTAATACACTACAGCTTCTTAAATCCTGGCGAAACCATCAATGCTGAATCATACTGTAACCAAATTAATACCATGCATCAGAAATTGGCAGTAATGAAGCCCTCTTTGGTCAATCGGAAAGGGCCCATTTTGTTGCATGACAACGCTCGACCACATGTGTCACGTGTAACGTCACAAAAATTATTGGAGCTTGGCTATGAAACTTTGCCTCACCCACCCTACTCTCCGGACCTCTCGCCTACTGACTACCATTTTTTTAGACACCTGGACCACTACTTACAACACATAATATTCAAAAATCAAACGGAACTGGAAAATGCATTTATTGACTTTATCAATTCTAAAAATTCTGAATTCTACTCAGACGGAATTAATAAGTTACCAACACGTTGGGAGAAATGTATTGAGAGTATGGGAAATTATTTTGATTAAAGAACATTGCTTTAAAGTAACTAGTTTCTTTTTTTTTGTTTAATACCAAAATCCTGCATTATTTTCCGGACAACCCAATAGAATAAAGATATAAAAGTGGACAGGGCGACGTGTAGGAAAAAGAAAGCCGGTCTAAATGGATCGCCAAATGACAATGGGAAAATGTAAAATTGGCCAGAAGCAACATAAATCAACGAAATTACGCAACCCGCAGAGCCTAAGTGGCAAAAAAATGGCAGAAAAGAATTTTTCCGGAGTATTTCAAAAGGTTTATGCTCAGTTAGTATTCAGTCAACGGTAAGGATGGGGGAAGCTTTATCCTAATGATAATTTCAGAAACGGCGCAATCAATGAAATGGATCGTAAATAATCTGTCTGAATAATAATGGGTAATAGAAATAAATATCAACAAGTCCAAAATCATGATATTCAGGAATGGGGTGAGCGTTAGGGAAAACACAAATGATCACGGTTTTCTATCCAGCTAAGCTTTAAATATCATTGCACAAAGAAATTGTCCTCTGTGATGCTTGGATTTATTTATTTTTTTTTATTTTTTTTATTTTAAATTCGTGAAGATGTACTTCAGTTAAATCCATTACAGTTCGTGGTCGGATTGACTAATTAACTTTTTTCAATTAATTAATATTTATGAAAGGTATTGGTTGAGATAAAAAATGGCAAAAAGGAGGGAAAATTCGAGAGATGAGGTTGAAGTGGGAAGTTGGTGCCCGAGAGGATCGAAGTCACGATAGCTCAAGTGGTAGAGCAGCGGCGTATTTAGCCGATGGGTTCGAATTCCGTTCGTGAGGCTGACTTTTTATCTCAACCAATACCTTTCATAAATATTAATTAATGGAAAAAAGCTAATAATTACATTCACACACAAGAATTCATTAACCCTCGGGGTAGGTGAAGATGTCATTTGTATACTGTAAATAAAATCCGATTATCTTTCTATTTATAAAAAGGATTGTTTTACGGAAAATAAATAGAAAAAAAATTACTTTAAAGTAAACTCCGTTATAAGAGATTAATAAGATAAAACGCTCCATATAGAAAACATGGAAAAATTAAACGGACCTAAGGAACTTATTTATTTTTCTACTTTATTTTGAATTTGCCCCAAGTCAATAACAAAACCTTTAAAAAATTCTGTACGGTTTGTTCTTTTTTTCATTTAGAAGATTATATTAAATCTAAGGATTGTTGGAATTTCCAGTTTAAAGTCTAAAATGGAAGCACTCAACCGTCTCACAATGGTCGTAAAACTACCGTATAAAAGTATAAAAAAGAAATAGAAGGGTTAATATATTTTTCCAGTGCATTAATAACTAACAATACTTCACACAATAAAAAACAATCGACAAAAAATCCTTTATTGCCAACTTATTTCTTCTACGGTACTTCTAATTGAGGCAAATCCTTACTAAACGCGTAGTAGAAATTCCACCGTACTTATTCGGTACGAAACATTAATGAAATAATACATAATATAAACCTATATTGTACAATTTATCATTCAGGACAGTGTCTTTTCTCTACTGACGATTGTCTACTTGTCGGATTAAAGGTAGATAGCTCAGAGTACTCAGCAGCCTGAGGATATAACGGAAGCTGAACGTGATCCGTCTTCTAATTAAGAATTTAAACCCGTATTAGCCCAGAATACGCTGTGGACGTGATAGGAAGTGGAATCCCGTGGGGGCTCGTCCGTCACGAATTGTTTCGTTAAAGGATGATAGGCAAAAATGCACAATGTTGACACCTTGACCATTAAGGTTTCTACCATAAATTAAATTTTAATAGCTTAATTTGCAAGGAAATTTTATTAACTTAACGTCTACATTATAATCAATTCGCTCTATCCACGATGAGCTTTTGATATTAGACATAAACCATACATAGTTTAGTTATTTTTTCGGCTATACTTGGGATTCGGGTAAATTCAGCTTTTGATAATATTTAAATTAATTAATCAGTTACAAATGCCGGAAAGCATGAATGAGTTTCACGTTGTGAAACAGTAGCTTGTAACTTATAATTGCCCATTAAAACGATACTTGCGCATACGTATGAGCTTCCATTGTTACTGTTTAATTGTTCTGATTGTAACAACTACGGAACTGCGTGTTATGTACAAATAAACCATTCACATCCTGATGCAAATAATACAATAATAACGACATTAAAATAAAAAATTCACATTAAACTTTTTTTTTTCAAAATATACCTATTTGCTGTTATATAAACAGATAAAAACGGGACGATAGGCTGGGAACTACTAACAAAATCGACATGCTATATGTAAATTGAGTCGACATGTGAAAGTTGGGACGGACAAGAGAAAACAAACAAACAAACAAAAACACACACACACACACACACACAAACGACAAAAACAAGCTATATACACATAAATAATGCAGAAAAAGTGCAAGAAATGCACAAGGAAACAACACAGTATAGACAAGCCTTCACACCCACACACTTATCCTCCTCATTCTCTTCTTCACGCACAACCAATAAAACCAATACAAAGACTTCATAGAAACGAAAAAACAAACCAAACAAACGTACACAGAAACTATTTTGCTCACTTTTTCTCACCCACTTTTTTCACTCTTCTCTCCCATATCACATGGGATAGAACACCCCATATCTCCCATCCTACTAGTGCTTTGTAAAGCAATTAGGGTTTACTTCACAAACCGTTGATGAACTTGATTAAAAAAATTGTGGACAAAATTTATTTTAGAAGGATAAGTTCGGATAATTCAAGTGTGACAAACGGGCTATATTACACATTTTGAACTTCATTAATTAAGCGAATTAAACTGGACGAATTATCAAATTTTTTCTACCTTATTTTCTGCAGCACACAATAAAAACGTTGTACTTGAGAAGACGAAATTTGGACGTTTTGGGCTTATTTATAAGTCTTTTATGTTGAATTTGACGTGAGACCAGTTTTGTAGTTCTACTCCAACAAATTGATTTTTAATTTCTGAATATGCCTTTCGGAGCTCAGCTGGCGATGTGAATTATGTTTTTAACCGTTTAATTCCTTTTTCTCTTAATCTTATGATACATGATACAAAAATCCAGTTTTAATTATCATTTCTTTTCATTTTCTTTTTCTTTTTTCTTTTGGTACATTTTTTTCTTTTGAAAACATGATTTCGTAAGTGTTTATAGGGTATTTGAAGAAGCCAAGAAAGACCAATAGGCCGATGAGCTTTTTTCGTTGCTGGCCATGAATGGGCCATGACGCATTTCCTGAGCGAACCTTTCTTCTTTGTACTCGTCGAAGATCTGGGGAGCAACGAGCGAAACCGTCGGGACACT